AACATGCTTACCAGGCGGAAGAGTGGTGAGGTCCCCACATATGAGTACGAGTTAGGGCCCAGAGTTCTTCTTCCATTGCTTGGCGCCACCCTGGAGAAGTGAGGGCTTCCTGGACATCCTTGGGAACAGAGACAGAGGATAACATAGAAACAAACTAGCGGTGGGAAGTTGAAAGGTGAGATACAGAAACATAATTGGACATAGGGTGGAGAGTGCAACTGCATTTACCTTTCTGCAAAGCAATAGGAAGATCGAGGTCAGAAATTGGGGTTGGGACTATGGTGGTAACAACTACCGGATCTGTCGACGATGACGAAGCTGGAGGATGAGCTGGTGCCTAACGATGCATATACACTTGCCGGATAGGTGGTCGTCCCGCAGGTAGCGGCACTGGAGGCAAAGACTGGGTCACAACTGGAACAAGTGGAACGGGGTCATCAACAGGGACTGGAAGAGGAGGAGATGACAACAGAGGAACAGACTCAAAAAATGTAACAACAGAACACACGAAAGAATGTCGAGAACGAGGATCATAACACTTATACCCTTTCTAGTCATAGAATAGCCAAGAAAGACACACTTAGTGGATCTAGCATCTAACTTGTCCATTCCTAGCCCAAGATTATGAGCAAAACACACACATCCAAAAACTCTGGGAGTAAGGGTGAAAGGAGACAACGTGGGAAACAAAACAGAGAAAGGGGACTGACCTTCAAGGATAGACATGGCATGCGGTTAATAAGAAAGCAGGATGTAAGCACAGCATCACTCCAAAAGGGTTTGGGGCATTAATCTAATGTAAGAGGGACCGAGTAGTTTCCAAAAGGTGACGGTTCTTTCTTTCAGCCATCCCATTTGTTAAGGGGTGTAAGTACACAAGGTTTGATGGATAATGCCATATCGTTCCAAATATTCTTGAAAGGGTGTGGAAAAATACTCGTGACCATTATCAGAACGAAGAATTTTAATATGTACACCAAATTGATTGCGAATTTCAGCATAAAACTTTTGGAAGATAGAAAACAGTTCACTCATTTCTTTCATAAGGTAAAGCCATGTCATCCTTGAATAGTCATCAACAAAAATTATAAAGTATTTGTAACCATTATAAGACACTACTCTGTTTGGACCCCAGATGTCCGAATGGACTAAAGAAAAAGGACTCAATGTACGACTATCACCTCAAAGACTAAAGGAAACACGACGATGTTTCCCAAACAGACACGACTCACAATTAAAATTAAAAAGACGACTCAACGACGGAACAAGTAACTGGAGAGCTCTAAGTGACGGATGACCAAGTCTGCAGTACCACTGATGAGGGGAAAGAGATGACTGAAGGGTTGTTGTCGAACCACCTCCATCAAGATAATACAATCCACCAGCTTCATGCCCTCCACCAATCTTCATCCCCGTCTTGAACTCCTAAAACACACAAGAGGAAGGGTAAAAAGTTATTGAGCAATTAAGAGACTTGGTCAATTTACTAACAGACATCAAGTTAAAGGGAAACTTGAGAACATATAAAACTGAGGATAGGGATAACGAGTCTATGTCAACATTGCCAACACCACATATGGCTGATGTAGAGCCATTGGCAAGAGTAACAGATTGGGAAGTGGAGGATGGAGAAATTGATGAAAACACACCTGGAGTCCCATTCATATGATTAGAAGCTCCAGAGTCTATAATCCAACGGAAAGGTGTGGATGCCAGACAAGTCGTACCTGATTGTGCAAGGGTAGCAATGTTCTGTTGAGATGTACCCTGAATGAACCGCTCATACTCATCCCGTGAAAGCATCTGTAGACATAGTGGGGATCTAATCAGTAACTTGAGATTCTTGTCTTGACCTGCCAACATTTACAGCTGCATGATTTGCCCAAGTTGATGGTGGGCCATGTAGATCATAGCAGAAATTGATAGTATGTCCCTCCATACCACAATGAGTACACCTTCTCTTGAGTATTACCACATCCTCTACCACGGGCTCCCCCTGAGTCTCAACATTCAACACGACCACCACCACGATTATACATGTCGCCACCACTACCACGGCCATGCTGACCTCCTCTACCGCCACGACCTCCCCCTCTAGTAACTGCAAATGCAGACCTATTTGACATAATGGAAGTCTTTGTGGGTCCAACTGAAATCCTCCGAAGACGAGAAAACACTTCCCCAAGAGAGGGAAGAACAGATCCACCTAGTATTTGTGCCCTTAACAGGTTCATATTCGGACTTCAGCCCTACTAAAAATCTGGTCACATCCAACTGCTCTCTCTGTAGTTACTGAATTTTGACATCAAGTGTAAGAGGGTGATAAACATTCAACTCATTTTGTAAGTTTCTCATACTTGCATAATAGTCCTCAAGACTCTAATTCCCTTGTTGCAGATTGAAGTACTCTTGGTACAGTTGATAAACCCTAGTAATGTTATCTTGTCCAGAGTATAGTTTCCTTGCATGATCCCAGACCTCCTTGGCTGTATCTGAAAACATGAAGTTCACACTAATTTTGGACTCCATGTTGTTCCATAGCCAAGTCATAATTTGAGCATCCTCTTRCTCCCATTCATCATATCCYRRAGAATCAATTGGGGGTTTATCTTCCCTCACATGTTTCACTTTCTTTTTGGCTTTCAAGAAAACTTCAACAGACTTAGCCCAAGGAACATAATTCTCACCATTCAGTTTTATAGAGGTCATCTGCACATTCAAATAATCAGAAGGCACCATTACACTTGACTTGTAATCACTGCTGTCTCCCATGACTGCACAAGAAAAAAGGAGAAACTGTACCACTAGATCATCACTCTATTGCCCTAATAAATCACCACACTCCACACGAATGACTGAACACTATTAGGGTTTCTAGTATCAGGTTTCAGCAACAACACTCACAACTCTTCACCACTATTAGCAACAGCACCACTGTTTCTGTCTACTGTCGGCACTAGAAACCCTTACAACACACCTCACGAATAGGATATTCAGTTCTGCAACATAAAAAAAAAAAACTTGCTACATACCACAACTTAGTTCGAAGATCATGTACCTGTCAAGTAGAGGGTACCAAGTCAGCACTGTCACCGTCACAAAACCAGCCCTCTTCGAACTGCCGAGTAGAGGGTTTTCTACCAACCACACAAAACCACAACAACTGCACTCATTGGAAGCATGGAAACCCCCAGAAGGAGAAAACGACCAATCCTTTTCTTTCTTTCTGGAAAACTCCTAGTTATCAATGAGAATTCTGTAATACCCTAGAAAAGAATGCGTGGAACAAAGAAAAGAAGAGACAACAGATCTGAACTGATTATCGTGGCTCTGATACCATGATAAAACTCAGATTAGATGTTCGTATAAGTTCAGATCAGAAGAAAGGAGAAGAGGGAGAAGAAAGAGAAAAAGTCTCTGTCGAACTAGAGAGAAAAATCAATCTTCTCTAGTCGGCCCTTCTTTTATTTATATTCTCCATACAAGAATTACTATTGTGCCCTCACTTAAGTGAGAGCCACATCAGCTGATCAACTCATATATAGCTAAACATAAAAGGACTATACTACCCTTCTACAGCCGACTCTAACATACGCAAAGCTCCGACCCTTTTCAGAAGGGAAGTTAGATTTAAAGTTGGGAATGGGAGAATGATCAGGTTTTGGTTGGATGCCTGGATGGGAGAATTCCCTTAAGGATATGTTTCCCACCCTGTTCAATTTGGCTGATGATAAAGAAGCAGTGGTAGGGATAATTCTATTTGCTGGACTCCAACCTTTGGAAGGGACTTCAATGATTGGGAGATTCAGTAGTTGGGGAATTTCTTGGTTTTGCTTCAGTCTCAGGTTTTGAATTTGCATTCCGAGGATTCTCTAGTGTGGAAAGGGAACAGAAGTGGGGAGTTTTGAAACCCCCTTCCCAAGCCGGGCCATTTGGGTGGCTCCCTCTAAAGTTTTTTGTATGAGGGGCAGCTTTGAGAAATGTCTCACCAGAGAGATGTTGGTAAGAAAAGGTTTTAACAGCAGTGACCTGAGGAGTTTGCCTCAGAGATCTGGAGCCACTTCTTAAGTAGTCTGACTGTCTGAGGGTATAAGCTGGTGTATGCCAGCTTCAGTTAGAGCCTGCCTGGAGGCTTGGCAGATCCGAGGGATGACTAAGAAAAGAAAGATTTGCTGGTCTTCTATTCCCTTGGCAATTATGTGGGCAGTTTGGACAGAAAGGAACAGCAGAGTCTTTGATCTTAAAACTCTACTGTAATTTTTTGAGGATGGCCTTTTTTGAGGTCCTTCTGTTTTGGTGTGTACAGCTTCTCATTGTACAAAGGACCTTTTACATAAATACAATTATACTTTACCTTTGCTCAAAAAAAAAAAATGTGCATTTGTTCTGTTCTTTTTATGCCTAGTAGCTGGGCGGGGGACTCCACCCTAGGAGGACCCCCAACCAAACCCCTTGAGGCAAGCCCGTACAAGTCCATATTAGGGTCATACTTAATCCCTTTCCTTTCCTTTCTTTTTTTCTTACTTTTTTATCTTTTACTTTCTTTTTATGAGGTGTGTGTGAGGCACATGAGGCATATGCCTCTAGCACACCTCATGAAAAAGGCATATGAGATGTATGCCTCAGAGGTCTCAACACCTATGGCATATGCCTAAGGGCGTTTTGGAGGTGCCTCGCCTGGAGGCACACACCTCCCATGCCTATTAAAACATTGAACTAGACCATGTTGGTTTCGGTTTTCCTGATCCAACACTTGCATGTCAGCATTGATACATATGGGCATGATCCCTATTCAGATACTAGTATCCCATACTTGTAAGGCATGACCATACAGTTGGTACATCTGATTAGCATCAATCTCACTAATGTTAATTGTTAAAATTTTATAACTCAACAGTTTATGGGATTTTAGCTCATCCCTTCCATTTAGTATCAACAATCAGCTACACAAGTCAAGTCCAACCATTAATTGCATTGTACAACAGCAGACTATAGCATACCTTTCCCAGTATACTCCCAAGAAAGTGGAAAAATTGGAGATGCTGTTCATGTACCAGTCCCGATCCAGGATTAGGATATAGTAGGTTGTCAGTTGTTGCCTGGAAATAAAGCCAAGTATGAAATTAACAAAGCATAAGAGACAAATTAACAAGAACAATCAACTACCCATGAACAGGTATTGTCTTCAGCACAGAGTAGGGGTGTCAATGGACTGGGTTTGGGTTGGACGGTTGGACCCTGTCAAAATCAATACCGATTTGAACGGGTTGGACAATCCAATTAGACATTGAATTGGACAAGTCCAGACTAAATGGTCAAGGTATTTATTGGATTGGATTGGACCTGGTCCAACTGTAATGGATTTATATTGGACTGGGATGAATAGAACCAATCTAATTTAAAACCACTTTGAACAGAATGGATGGTCCAGACATTGAATTGGACCAGTCCAGAATGGTCCAAAGTACTCATCAGATTGTGTTGGACCTGGTCCATCTGTAATGGACTCATACTGGACTGGATTGGGTTGGACCAATATCTGGTCCATTGACAGCCCTAGCACAAAGGGCCAGTCATCAACAGATAAGGTTTTAAGATACTTAAAATTGAAACATAAAGGAACACTATGAACAGTCTGTGTATCATATAACATTGTAAAGCAACAATAAAATCAAATAATACATGAAAAACAAATTTTAAACATAAACATAATATAACTGAAAAGGACTAAACCTTAAAGAATACACAACACTGAGAAATCATTATTATAGGGATAATTGATAATTCTAGGCCTTTGAAGACCCATATTAGACAGAAGAAAGCCAATCCGAAAATACTAATTTGGCAGGATGTCAATTCTTGAGAGCAAGGCTTATTTAGTCTACAGGGGTGCTCTTGTCATTTTTACTGTATATTATAGGTTTCACCTTACAGTCATGTTGGGTAGTTAATTTGGTTAACTATTGATAAAGTTATTTAGTTCTTTTGTCTTACAAAAGTCATAGTGCAGCTTTATAATTTTTAAAAGTTGGAAATAGAAGTTGCTAATAGCTAGCTGGTACCATCTTCTTAGTTTATGACTAGGATACCCAGAAATTGACACAAACACAGATATGAGAAAAACAGCTATATGACACTCTATTTCCTAAAATTCTGGACATAGACATGGGTATCCTGTATAATATGCTTAAATCATGCTTACTGTCTAGTTTCAAGCCAAACATAATTTCACAAAACTTATGACTTGTCTGGTGAAAGGGTCAGGGGTAGGTGGGAGTGTTTCAGATTTTCTAAAAAGCTCCAAGTTATCACAGAGGGGTTAAAGGTATGGAACAAAGAGGTGTTTGGAATAGTTGGAGAGGAAAAGGAGAGGATTCATAATAAGATTGGGGAGTTGGACTTGAAGGAAGCTGAGGGAGAGCCAGGGAGGAACATAGGAGGCTAAGAAAGTAGCTAAAGAGGGAGTTGGATGTGTTGTTGAGAAGGGAAGAAATCTATTGGAGGCAAAAGTCTCAATGTCAGTGGTTGTAAGAAAGGGATAGTAATTCTAGATTTTTCCATCAAACTGTCAACAACAGAAACCAAAAAAACCGCATCTTGAAATTAATAATTAATGGCATTAAAACACCAGATATGGTGTTGATTGCTAAATCCATGGTTCTCCACCTCCCACTAGATTGGCTGTTTCAGGGCTGGATTGGCCGTCTCTAGATAGTAACTTAGCTTTATCCCTTGACAAGCCTTTTGAGGAGGAAGTGAAGAAGGCAATTTTTTATATGGATGCATCAAAAGCCCCATGTCCTAATGGATTTACAATGGGTTTCTTTCAGAAGTGTTGTGAAATCATTAAGCGTAACCTAACGGAGGAGTTCAAGGAATGTCCTGAGAGGGATATTTTACATGTAGGAGCCAATCCCACTTTCATTTCTCTAATTCCAAAGTCCACCAATGCTTCTAGACCCCAGGACTTCGGACACATTAGCCTAATTGGGAATCTTTAAAAATCATAGCTAAAGTCCTTTCTTTGAGATTGAAACAAATCTTGCCTTAATCTCTTAGAATCACGGAGCTTTTATTTTTGGTAGGCAAATCACTGATCAGGTCCTTATAGCCAATGAAAGTCTGGAGGAGATGGAAGAGAAAAGGGAGCAAGGCTTGGGTCTAAAAGATTGATTTGGAGAAAGCCTATGATTTTGTGGACTGGTCTTTTTAGACTTGACTTTACTAAATTGTGGATTTGGCAATAGGTGGAGAAAGTGGATTAGCAATTGCACTCAATCATGTCACCATTCCATTCTTAGCATTGGAGTATCAAAAGAATTTTTCCAGGCAAAGAGAGGTTTGAGACAAGGGACCCACTATGCAGCTGTTTAAGGGTTGGGTGTTAGGAAGAGAAAGTTTAGGGGAAAACAATTTCTAGAATCTTGTCCTCGATGGTTTTTCTAAAAGATTAGCCGCTTAGAAAAAGAAATATATTTCCCTTGGGGGTTGAATCACACTCATAAAATCCACCTTTAGCAACCTCCTAGCGTACTACCTTTGTGTATTCAAAATGCTATCTTCTGTTGCAAACATGATTAAAAAGATTGTGAGAGACTTCCTTCGGGAACCAGGAGAAAGGAAAAAGGATCACTTGATCAACTGCAAGACAGTTTGCAAAAGTAAGGAGGAAGGGGGATTGGATCTTGGACAGGTAACACTAAGGAATACTTCTTTGCTGGGTAAATGGTTTTGTAGATTCCCCAATGATTCTGACAAGCTATGGCATATGGTCATCAGAAGCATTCATGGACTTCTCACCAATGCTTGGGACACTGATCTTCTTGCCAGAGCCTCTTTATTTCCACCTTGAAAAGTAATCTCAGCTATTAGTCTTCTCCTTCTACTCATCAGATATGATGTCCATTCAGGTTCTAAAACTCTTTTTTGGAAAGATCTTTGGTGGGGGGAGCAGTCTATTAAGGATCTGTTTGCTTCTCTTTTCAATCTTGTCATAACTAAAGATTGTTTGGTGTCGCATTGTGTCACTACTTCCAACCTTGGTATGCATTGGGACTTGGGCCTTAGAAGGGGTTCAAGGGATTGTAAAACTTTTAACATCATTGCACTTCACTCCCCAGCCCAACTCCATCGCACCTCAGCTTCAGCAGGTAAGTTCTACCAGCTTCAGTCATTTTTTGCCTTTTTTTTTCGAATAAACAGGGGCTCCACCCCTATACTCCTCCCTTCCTCCACAGCTCCACTCATTCTTCTTCTTCTTCTTCTTCCGCCCCTGATTGTTCTCAGTCGCTAGTCCTAGTCTCAGTCCCCTTTTTTTTTTTTTGAAAAAACAGGGGCTCCGCCCCTATACTCCTCTCCGCCCCTGACTGTTCTCAGTCGATAGTCTCAGACTCAGTCCCTTTTTTTTTGGAAAAAAACAGGGGTCTATACTCCTCCCTGCCCCTAATCCCCTATACTTCTTCTTCCTCTTCTTCTTCCACCCCTATACTCCTCTCCTCCCTTCCTAGTTCCTGCACTTATTTATTTATTTTTTTTCGGTTAATAGTTAGTGTACATGCTTGCTAGTTGGTGTATAGTTAGTGTACTGTGTACATGCTTGCTAGTTTTTCATTTAATAGTTAGTGTACATGCTTGCTAGTTAGTGTATAGTTAGTGTACTGTGTACCAGTGTTTTAAAAGGCGTGGGAGGCATATGCCAGGAAGCATGCCTCCAGGGGAGGTGCTCCCAAAATGCCCTGAAGCGTATGCCAGGGGCGCTGACACCTCTGAGGCGTACGCCTCTTGCACTTTTTTCATGAGGCGTGCTAGAGGCGTACGCCTCTTGCGCCTCATGCACATTTGATATGAAAAGACCAAAAAAAAAAAAGAAAAAAGGAAAGGAAAGGAAAGAAAAAGAAAAGATAAGGGGAAAGAAAAGACAAAACCCCCCTTTGAACTACTGTTATGCATCTTTATTCTTCTTAATATAAAAGATTTTTATTAAAAATAAAGAAAAAATGAGATCCCCCCACCTCTTAAGGAGGCTTACGCCTCCTTGTGTTCGGGAGGCGTATGCCTCTTGCGTTCTGAATTATGCCTCACACCTCTAGGTAGTGGAACGCCTCGCTTCACGCCTCCGCATTTTAAAACATTACTATGTACATGCTTGCTAGTTATATGAAATTTATAGTTTTATACTCATTTGAATGATTTATAGAGTTAATAGTTAGTGTACATGCTTGCTAGTTAGCACAGATAACCAATAAAATAGCTTACAAAAGCATAGATAAAGTAAAAACTCAAAAAAAATTAATATTTTCAAATTCCAATGCCTAGGCGCCCTGTGGTCGCCTAGCCTCGCCTTGGTGCCTTGAAAACTATGCTGCTATTTGTCCTGTTGATGCCATTTGCAAAGATCCAGTTTCATCTAAGATCAGAGCTTTCTGTTAGGAGGTATATCACGATAAAATTAACACTTGTGAGAATTAACAAAAAAAGGAAACCTTGGTGACTGCTTTCTCCTGTAATTTTGTGGCCGCTATCTGGAGCCATTTTCTATCCCTTTTTTTGGTTTCAGGTGGGTTCTTCTGGCAGATATGAGGAGCCTATTTCTCAATTCGTTTTTCTACCATTACTCATCATAAAAAAAAAAAAAAAAAAAAAATTGCTTTTCTCCCTTTCAAAGAGAAGAGGAAAGGTGCTATTGAGATGTACTAGGGCAGCTATTCTATGGAGCATTTAGGAGGAGAGGAACGCCCAGTTATTCTTGGACAAAGAAAAAGGTATAGAAGAAACCATTGACAACGCCTCAATAAAAGTGGTGCATTGGTTGCCAGTGCCAAGCTCTTACAACGGAAGGTTAAGTCTATGACCAATAGGGCTCCACTTTCTTTGGGCTGGTTAAATTTGAATTTTAATGGATGCAGCTTGGGTACTCTTGGACCTTCAGGTATAGGTGGAGTTTTCAGGGATGAAATTGGAAATTTCTTAGTGTTCCTTTCTGGACCTCTAGGAATAGGAAACTCAATTCAGGCAGAAAATTGGGCAACACTCATGGGTTTAAGGAGGGTGTCTAAAGAAAGATCAGGAGGTACCTTGGAATTATAGATACATATTCAGGAAGCTACAAAGCATCATAGAGGAATTGCAAGCAACAGTGACTTGGGTTCCAAGGGCTTCCAATGGTTTGACAGATGAACTACCAAAGAAGGGGGTATCAAGGGACCAGCTGCATTGGGGCCAAGTGGATTGGTTAATTGCATACTTGTATGGTGGTTAGCTAAGACTAGCCTTTTTTTAGGTTCTCTACAGTACTCACTTCTATACTGTTTAATAAAATTCAGTACTGTTATTCATTAAAAAACACTTGCGTCGTGTCAATCTTAATTAAATTTCAAACATTTACAGATTTTTCATAGTAGGATTTGATAAAATATATAATTTTACATATTCTAGAAGTTTCCATGTAATATCAGGTGGCATATCAGGGACATATTGTGTCTGATACCAATAAACCATGCATGTACAGGCATCCATTCATTCATGAATGCATGAGGAGACACACATTCATGCATGCATATGTTTGTCTTCCATTAAATTAACAACCTTAAATAAACCATACTGCACATCAAAGGCTGCTCGTGTGATTCTCTCCATGAAATCTTTGAAAATCCCACCACCATCAATCCCAGCCTCCTCAACTCCAAATTCATTAACAAATGTTACTCGGATCTGAAAAATATATTTAAATAGAAATTAGAAAATAACTCTCAACCAGAGGGAGGGAGATGGAGAGTTCTATCCAATAACAAAGAACTATTCTGAAAAGTGCCTCCAAAAATAAGCAAGCCATACCAGTTCCCGTAGATCCTCTTCAGACAATACACTCATCTGATTAAATGCATCTTCGAAAATATGATCCCGTCTTATTCTGAACCTGTGCCTAGAGAAAACAGCACGAGGCCCATTCCTTTGCCGTGCTGCTGCTAACTGTGACTGATAAATTGGAAAGACTAGTTTAGTATGATAACATGAATGAGATAAAAAAACATATTATCAAAAAAAACTGATATAGGAATATTTGCATGATGAGAGCAAGCAAATACAATTTTCGACAGATATATTGGTGAGACCATGCCAGAGGCCAATGTTATGTATCAGAATGCAAAATGGACAAGCAAGGAAACTCCAGGTGAAATTGAGATCAGTTAATTACTTACAGTTAATATTTTAACCCTACTTGTGAACGGAACCAAGAAGGGAGCTTGTTTCAATATGTCAAACGCCCTGGTATTTTCAGCAACAGCCTGCAATGAGGGATTACAACATCCACAGTCTGTTAAATTCACATCCAGAAAATAGAACGAGTCTATAACATGTAAGAGTGATCATGGGCTAGGCCACACTTAGCACCTATTATAAGGACTATAGCCCAGGCTTGAGCCTGGCCCGGACCCCTGGTCTGAGGTCAGGCCGGGATTTGAGCCTGTAACATCAAATAAAAAAGATTTAAATGCTTATAAAATTTTTGTATTGTATAATGTACACACACAGGACAAACTAAATTAACAATGTACAATTCAGCACCACTCTCCATCCTCCTAAATTTATATATATATATATATAATAGAACGAGTATCCTCCGTGTCAGCATGTCTTCTTCAAACACATTTCACGCTGAGACATCAATGGAAACATTTTGGTTTTTGTTTGGACTTGCAAAACATCTTGAAATCTCCCGCTCATAGAGATGTTTCTTCCAGGAAGTTTGAATGTAGATAGAAAACCCAGGTTCAAATTAGTAATAGTTCATATGCCAACATTGCCTTCATTGTGAATCTTCCTTTAATGTGTCCTTCAGATCGTCTCTCAGCCTCCATTGTGGAGTTAGCAGAGAAGGTTGGAAACTCAAATAGTATTAGTAAAAAGTTTACATTGATAAAAATATAAAATTAATAATCTTAAAATTCACTATATTATGTAAATTAATTAAAATTAGTTAATATTAGTTAATAAAATTAATAATTTTACTAATTCGTGAAACATAAAATAAATAAATATATAAATTAAAATTATTTTTTATTAACTTAATGACCACTTAAATTCCAATTTAAAAAAAAAAATTAATAGAAATCATCTAAGAATCTAATAAAATAAAATTATTAACAAAATATAAAATCAATTTAAATAATAAAAATTAATTCAAATTTGTCTAATAATAAGTAATAAATTTTTATTAATTTAAACCCATTTAGATTCCAATCCATTTAAAAATTAAAAAGTAATGTTAACTTATCTAACAATACATAGCCAAATAAGGGATGTCAAAAGGTTTCTTCTACTTAAATCTTGCTTGACAAAGCTAGACATGTCTCATATAAATGATATTTTATTATAATATTAATTATCAATCAGGATCCATGTCATGAGAGTTTGGCAAGTTTTAGTACTGGCTGCCAACCTGACAAAACTCTCTCCATTATCTAGGCTTGGGACCAGCAATGTAAGACAAGCTCATATTGGCAGAATAGTATGAAACCTAAAAGTGAAAAACAAAAATGTATATTTTTATTACAAAATCTAATGAAAGGGTCATTACTTGCAATAATGGTAAAATCTCAGGCTGGCAAGTGTGAGAATTTGATTTCAAATCTACTTTGTGTAAAAAAAATGCCTCAAATGAGCAGAAATTGCATGGTTGTCTATTGTTTTAGGCTAATGGTTATAATCCATCAGCCATGGCTCATGGTTGCCCAAATTGCATGGTTGTCTATTGTTAAATAGATGACCGCAGACCTTTCATTATCATAGTTCATCAATGTGAGACCTTGAATGTTAACTTCTATACCAAGCATCGATGAAGTAAAAAGAACAATTCAATGGCTAAAAACATCAGATCTGTTCAGAGGTTATTCCTTTGATGATCTCTGGAAAGGTTGGGTAGAGGTGGTTCCACAGCCCCCAAAAAGAATAGACTACAGATAGAGTAGAGACCTCCTACAGAGGATGTGGTAAAGCTGAACTTCGATGGCAGCAGTCTAGGCAACCCAGGGCCTTCTGGTATAGGAGGGATTTTAATAGATAAGGATGGAAACATCCCATCCCTATTTTCAGGACCAGTGGGAGTTGGCGATTCAACAAGGGCTGAGATATTGGCTGTGGTGCAAGGAATAGTTGAGGAAGATTCTAAGGTGGTAGTGGGTTGGTTGTCAAGTCCAGAAATAGTTCTATGGGGCTACAGGGATCTTCTTAAGAAAGTTAATTGGCTCACAAGGAATATGTCAGTCACCTATCAGTGGGTCAGCAGATCAGCAAATGCTATGGCTGATTCTTTGGTAAAACAAGGGGTCTCAAGGGTTGAATTATTTTCTGCTACTCTATGATTGTATTCTGTTAAGAATTTGTTTATGCTCTCACCTCTAAGGGGAAGTAACATCTCGTGCCTCCTCTTAGGGTGAATGTACACCTCCTTTCTTATTATTAATAAAATCATTATTCATATATAAAAAAACATGTTACCTTCCATATCATACCATTTAAAATTGCTTGTTCCTTTCGACCAAAGGGCTGACAAACACATCGACGAACTATGAAAATGAAAGCTTTGCATTCATCTATTTAACAATAGTTAACCAAGGATAAGTGATGGATGATTGAATGTTACAATAAAGGTCTTTGATGTAATATGTCAGCTATGTACCGCAGGGGTATTATGGTCCTTTTCCTATCTTTTATGCTATGTACGGTCGCCCTAATATACAAATAGAATAGCTGGCGGTGCCAGCAAGTCTTTTCGTCTCCCTCACTGTTTTGGAATGGTAGAATACTGATATGTTTCATTCTATTGCCAATGGGCATATTTATACAGTAAGCTGCTGCAATAAATAGAAAGAAAGAAAAATAGAAAGAAAAGAAAATAGAAAGAAAAAAAAATAGAAAGTACAAAAATAGAAAGAAAGAAATA